ATCATTTGACATCACCTATCGTCTGTTTTGACCAACATGTTGGCTCAGTTTTTCACATGTTACCTGTCAGAATTTACGGTTTTCGGCCAGTGCCATTAATATCAGTGCTATGAATGAGAGTGATCAATATCTTGCCGTGTTGATTGTTTAAATAAGGTTGCTACACAAATTCTCGTCGTTGATGACGTTTCGCAGCGTCGCCTTTTTCAGGGTAGCGGTGTTTCGAGCGGATTCTTCATTCGTGCCTGTTATTTTTTGCGAAGTGGGTCGTCGTAGTCGCTACAAAGAGTCGATTCAGCTAAAATAGCTCTGGACGAATGAGATGGCCTCATCTGGCAATGTCCTTTTAGTAAAGTGCGATCGCTGGTCTTTTGTCACCGATTATGACCTGTTCTCGTTGTGGTAATGCATCTCTACTGTGGAAATGGTATAAGGTGTGCATAGTGAGGCAAAAAGGAATTTTACAGTACTAACAGCTCGCTTAAGACGTTGAAAATCAGGTGAGCAGAAGAAATTAAATGTCTGAAAAACAGTCAGTGACTAGGAGCGGCTAGCTTCTAGTTACCAAAGGATTTCAAAAGCGTAGCAGGAAGAGAACCGAGCCAACGGACAGAGTTTTTCGTAAAAACCTCGGAAGAAAGACATGATGCTTAGCGAGTTTTTAGAGTGTAAAGGATTCAGAGAATTTTTTAAATAAAGTTGAATGATTGATCAATGTGTATTCTTAACTCTTTTATTTACTGCCTTTTCCTTCTTAATGGCAGGGTATGTTGTGAAATATAACTCGTATGAAGTGCTGAGATACCTGCAAAACTCCGGACCACAGGTGTATGCAGTGGGGAACGAACACGCGCTGTTGTCCTTACCGGGGAGCAGCGCACTTCACCACTACACCATCCAGGTCACCGGAGTGATGAAGTGCGCTGCTCCCTGGTAAGGACAACAGCGCGTGTTCGTTCCCCACTGCATACACCTGTGGTCCGGAGTTTTGCAGGTATCTCAGCACTTCATACGAATGTGTATTCTATTTGTGCACTACATCTTCTTTACAACAGTCATACATGAGGTAATGCACAATACACTGAATGAATAAAAGCCTCTCGAGCAACCAAAGGTTTGAAGAGGTTTTCTATGCTTTCATGAAATCCATTGGAATAGGGTGAGAAAACCGCATGGTTTCAATTCCACCAACCAAAATAGATATGTGACTTGGTTAAGACAGAAATGATCGTTGAATAACATCTTAGCAAACAAAGATCCTTTGTGAGCTAATGTACATCCGATGTTGAGAGCGTCATGAGCAACGTCGAGAAAAGAAAAGCGCACATCTGGTTGGGTTGTTTGTCAACATTGAGGTTGAGATAGTTCTGAAGCCTAGGCAAGGGAAATGCGTCGTTTGCTAGGCTTAAAAGAGCATCGAACACACAATGAGTGAGGCATGAAAATGGAACTTCGCAACCGACGCAACCGACAACCGCAATTTGTCTTTGCAAAAATATTTTTCAGCTGTTCTTTGAAAATGGGCGATAATTTTCTCATTTTGTGGTGTAGGAGTTGATAACTTTGCGAGCTCACAATTCAGCCAGCACTCTATCACATTAAAGGTACAGAATTTCTATAGAATAGCTTGCAACTTCTCGGTGTGTGCAGATGAAGATTTAAAATAGTTGAGATCGAAATTTAGGAAGAAATTCTGCATGCTCCGTTGATTTCGTGTTCGATATACAACGCTTGGAGCTAGGCTTCTCTTCTTCCACCAAGGTATGTCTTTGATCTCGGTTGGTGGATTTAAACTGAGAGCATAAAAGGTAACTCTAGTAAATACCAAGTCGAAGTTTTTGTTACTCGAAAGCGAGACCCTTAATTTTTAATGCATAGGGCCAAGAATTTAGCTACGGGTGTCTTGTTGGATTACGCCTTAACATAGGCTTAATTGCTGAACCACTCACTATAGACTACCGGCCGTGAACTGCCGATTATTAACCAACTAAGATAAATTTACAACATTAACAGAAAGTCGCCAAATGAGGCAAATTACAGCCTACCACTATTTATATGAAATCCATTACGACGTTAACTCGATTCAGTTAACGCATAAAGCCTTGTCGCCGTTTTGTGAGGCTGACCCATTGGAATATTTTGCAATTTTTTGTCGGCTGAACATGGTACGGTTTTTGCACAACTAAAAATAATCTTTCAGTAATTAGACAGATTTAGGAGTTGTTAACATGATAGAATCCTAGAAGAGACTTATCTCCATCTCCCTACGAGTGCGAGTGATGTGTATCCTGCTATATATTGTGTGCTATTAGAGACCTAATTAAAACCAAACAATAGTTAACTGTTGGTCAAATTACCGGTAATGTACTTTTTAGGAAAAGGTCATTTGTAAATCGTTCAGTGTCGAGAACTTTTTTTCTGGTTTCATCCCTCCTATTTCGATCTGCTTTCGAATAACCATCGAATGAAAATATAACAGTGGCAAAAATTCCGCAATATAATGAGTTGAATGTGGACACAGTAACGTTCATAAGGTTGCTAGGTCGAAGTCGCTTTGAACACTGTAATATCCATAAGGACCTTATGGGTTAAGCAACGTAAGGGTGATTGAATGCGAAATCGGCCTGTACAACGACTTGGGGAGTTGGGCTACCGTTATACAAGATCAGCCTTTCTTTGCGATGAAACCTAAAACGGCATATATTTTAGAGCACTTCTAACCAGTACACCATGAGGCCCACACAAAGTAACAGATGAAGCTTTAAAAAGCCGTCGGCGTTTAGCAATCCCTCAGCGATGCGCCATGCATTCGACTTCGCTAAGCATCGCTGGAAGTGACTGAATGCACAGCTAGCCTTTACAATGACTTGAGGTGCACCAGACAAGTCTGCTATCAATTTTCAGACCTCGGAGTGATGGAAGTTCCTGTTAGCCTGGTGCATGAGGATTCCAAGTGTGCTGCAGAGCGCCTATAAAAGTGAGCTACATGCACCTATAAAAATAACAGATTCGTTGAAGAATATAACAATATTCAAAAATATGAGAGGCGGACGTGTTTTCTTCAAGTATTTTAGAATTAGAACCGCACCGTACGCTCATAGTTTTAATCCTTTGCCGTCTTCTGAATCGACATGCGTAGGAGTGATTTAATTCAATGCAGAATTCTCGACACAATCATTTCACATTTATTCAATAGATCAACAATCCAGAATGGGTCACATATCATCTATGGATGTTTATGGAAATTTTGAATGAGTTTGTGTCATTAATAAAGGGCCATAGTTTGATTAGATTACAGTTCGCAGTTGGACTAATTCAAAAGCACATTTAGGATCGACATTCTGCAGCTGCCACCTTCTTGTTGTATTTTTTCAACATTGTAGTGTAGGCTTCTAGATATGGGACCAATTTCATCTTGCGATTTAGAAGATTTTCCTGAAGTCATATGTAACAGAGTTTACCTCTATAATATCTCTCGGAGTGAAAATTCCCTATGTTTCATTTTAGATCCTATTCAACTTTTTAGAGCGCGTGTGGTGCAGTGCTCTGAGGCGTCCTGCAACACATACATGGAGTCGATTCAGACGCGCACGGCCCCCGCGAAAGCCTTCCAACTCTCCGGGGTCAGCAAATTGATACCAGACTTGTTGAGGAGGATGGCAGCACAGGTTCGATACTTCGGTAGGCCACCGCGAGGCCGGCCATAATAAAGGCCAGATATGCATTCATTCACCTCCAAACGATCCTTAATAGAGTAGAATGCTTGGTGCATCCCTCAGGAATTGATCAACGTAGAAAGCTTTATCCTTTTACTTTATTAAACTTTTTCGATAGTGCAAAAAAACTCAAAATATAGGAATGCTTAGAAGAGAAGAGACATTTTGTATGTAAGGGTGAAATGTTTACATTGCAATCCGCCACAAACAGTAAGAGTGTCAAATGCTTTAGAAGAAGTAGTTTAACTCCACGATAGTAATTCTTACGTGAAATGTTTACACTGATAAAAATCAGGATCAAACCGTATCGGCTTTATGTTGCTAACATTATCCTTGTAGAACTTCATGGGTTACTGAGTTAGGATTTGTTCGAGACTAGCTCTCCATTTCTCAAGACAAATCGACAGCTTAGGGATTTCTGAAGTTCGGAGTGCTGATCCAAGAGAGCTTTTCGTGTACTCTTTCTCTTCGACGGGATCGACATAAGACGTAGAAATCGAACTGTCTAGAGGAAAGTGGGCAAATACAGCTAGAAGCTAATTCTGAATGGAAACGACTAGTGAACATCAAAATCGTGCCAAACGACAGGTAATGTAGATGGTAGACACTACGCCAATAGGATAGTCGAAGTGAATGCCGGTTATGAAGTGCAAGGAGGATGTGCGTCTATGTAGAAATCAATAATCTCAATGAAAACGCATAAACCATTTCATGATAAATGGAAAAGTAGTCTAAGAATGTTTTTCACTTTGTTTGAGAGTCAGAAGAGACTTCAAGAGTAGTCAGCAATGATAAAAATAAAGGATAAAGCTCTCGGTGTTGACCAATCCTTGGGGGATGCGCCATTCATTCGACTTCATTAAGCACCGTTTGGAGATGACTGAATGCATATTCTGGCCTCTACAGTGACTGCAGTGGCCTACCAATGTATGGAGCTTGTGCTGCTATCCTCCAAATCAAGTATGGTGCCAGTTTACCGACCTCGTAGGGATGAAAGGCTTGTGGTGGGCCATGGGCGCTGAGGTTGATTCCACATGTGTGTTGCAGAGCTCCTCCGACCACTGCGCCACACGCGCCCCTTGGTTGGCAGCAAGGTTATGTGATACATTGTATTTCCCTTTAAAAAATTACACTATACAAGAAAAACTTAATTTAAGATATGGATTATACTTCGCACTTACTCGACGGTCCATAAACCTAACAGCCCTAATGACCAACATAAAAATTCGCACTATTTTTAGATTACATTTTAAAAATTATTCTGGATATTCAGTGCTACATCGGCTAACTTACCTCGGCAGCCATTTCGAGAACACACATATGTAAGAATATGTACTGTATTGGTGATTGTATTGCATGAAATCGTTGCCTACGCAAATCTTTTACTGCATCAATCATTTGAAATTCAGCGTTTTTCCGAATCTTCTGCCATGCATAGTCGATTGCTGTGGAACAGTACAGTAAATGAAGGTTAGGTTATCTTCTAACTACTGTGATGAAATTTCTACTTACTTTTTCTAGGATTTTCAAAATCTGTAGACCTGTATTTGGACGGAGACAAGGAAAAGGATATGACAGGGATATCGGCAATGGAATTCTAATACCGTTAGAATGGGAGGAGGAAATGGTGGATAAGGCAATGGTTAGTGATGTGGCCGGTCAGGAGCCAAAAACGCTAGTGCGACCTCCTCCCCGGTGCTCTCCGTCGATCAACGTGGAAACGCATTAGCCCTGCTATGTTCAAGGACGAGATTTAGTCACCTCCATGATGTTTAATCGAATTTTGTAACAGAAAAAGTAGACAGCACACTAGACACTGCCTTGTTTGTCTAATTCAATCAGTTTCCGATTCCGTGATGACGTTAATCCTTTCAGTGTTGTACTATAGGACTACTCGACCGGAGTACGCAACTAACATAATTTTTAACTATAATATTTAAGCTTTATTTATTAAAACGATTCAGTTGTGGTGATTTAGTTCAAATGGATTGACTCATATATACTTATGTAATCGTTGGATAGTAAACTGATACATTACATTGTTTAATCGGGGGAGAGTAGCTGAGGTAGCGGAATGGTTAGTGGAGCCACCTACTTGAAATCAAAAGCGGTAGTACGACGCCCTTCTCAATACTCCTCTCCAATCAACGAAGAAATGCCTTAGCCCAGATATCTCGAAGATAGCAAAAAGGTCTATGCGGTTGGTCTCCACATAATATATTTAGTGGAAGACTCATAGAAAGCGGTGAGTGTGCAAAGACTCTGCTCAATGCGATTGAAATTTTAGTTAGGATTTTCCCTGTTTGGTTATAAAGGTGCTTGGCCGTGTAAATCGTAGTCAACTTAACATTCCTAGGCTCTGAGAAAGGCGAAATCCGTTGAAAGGTCAGCTTGTACGTAAATAAAGAAATTAAGTAGCACCTCGTGTATGCTGAAAAGAAGTAGAAAGAATTATTCAATCAAAGCCGAGGTTAATAGAAAGTCGGACTTGGGAGTTACTACAAGATGTACCAGCAAGATATTTCCGACTTACAAAAAAAGCAGTTGCTAAAACAAAAGATCGTCTTAGCTCGACAGGCGATACACTTCCTCCGTCGCAGCATAAAACACCAACATGTTCCGAAAACCATAAAAAGAAAACGACTACACGAAGAATGCGGACTGCCAGAGGAAGACCACCGAGTACTGGACATCGAATTGCAAGTACTACGCACCTGTCCACGAAGCAAACAAAATCAGATTTTTGCCAAGTGGAAGAAGTGCGAAAAGAAAGAAAACTATTGCGCTCAGTATTTGGAGGACCGCCTCCGGAGGAGAAAATGCGTGGGTCAGTGATGATTTGCATGACCCTCCCTGACGGTGCGCGCTCGTTATTAGAATTCGGGCCGAGTTTCTCACCATCTGAACCCATTTCTAAGGTAACCTTGCGTAGGGTCGTATGTAGCTTACATGAACTTCAGGATAGACTCCGCGAAAAAGCTAGGGATGAGACGGAAAATAGGTGTTAATAACACCAAGTGGAGGTCCTACCAACAGCATCATTTCCTCAGCCGTTCTTTAGACAACAAGGACCAAATAATGAAGGTTGATGTTAAATTTCGGATGTTTACGAATAAAACTCTCAAAGTTCTTAATCACTATCGCGCAAAGAGATACTGCTCCAACTTCACTGAAAGGCAAAAACGTCGTATGCGAGAGGTAAGAGAGCTGATAAGGTTGAAAAACATTGGACTATCCGTTAGTGATAAGGGTGGAGAATTTTTAATTCTCCATCACTTAGATGTTGCGATAACGAAAAAGCGTCTTGAAGATGCTTCACTCTATAGCCCATCATCTGAGAAGGAATTTAAAAATAAATACCGAAAATTGAACCATGAATGGGCCAAAATGGCAAGGGCTGTTTGTTTAAAACCACCAGTTATCTCTCGACTAAAAGTTGACTTTACCATGTACTCGTTAGCCGTCAACATGTCCCGTCTTGTACTTGCTCATAAAAACTCATAAGTTAGTACCCAGCGATGATCTTGCGTCTACCGATTTATCATTGTTTAAGGTTAGAGCTATCATTAGCTGTGTAGACGAACCAACGAATAGGATAACATGGTTTTTAATCCTAATATTTAACCAGTTGCTGAAACACATTCCAACCCATCTTACGAATACCCAGATGTTTCTGGATCGTCTACATACTGCGTAGCCAACAGCGCGTACATGATGGAGTCCTTAGACGTCACTGCGGCAATGCAAGCCATATTCGAACTCTTTGTACAACACGAAGGAGAAATAAACATGTATGGCTTTAAGTTAAAGCAGTTGATGGCACTCTTAAAAAAATGCTTGAGCTGCTCAATCTTCAGATGGCCCAGAAAGTACTACTCTCAAATAAGAGGGTTGGCAATGGGACAACGACTGGCACCAAGCCTTGCCATTGCATTCATGTCTAAGGTGGAAGCGCCAGTAATCGACCTCGGTCCGCTACTCTACTGTAGATATATAGATACCTGCTTGGTCATTTGTTTAACACAAGAAGAAATTGACAGATGTTTCGAGTTGTTGAACGAACAGTCAGAGTATATTAAATTCACTCGGCAAAAACAAAAGAAAACTGGCTTCCGTTTCTGAGCGTGCAAATTACCCCATCAGAAAACAGCTACATTACGAAATGGTACCGAAAGCCAAGTAGTAAAAACATCTTGGTACATTACCTCTCCTCTCACCCCTCTCACACGAAAACGGCGCTTGTGAGAAACATGTTTCGAACAGCAACCAGCGTGTGCACAGGAAGAGAGCAGAGAGAGGAGTCCCGGAACTTGACGCGGCCAATAGCCATTTTTAATGGTTACGAAACTGTAGCTCGAGATAGGTGTAGAGAAAACCACAGGTACCCCAACGATAACTCTAGCGACAATAAGGTCGCGTTTACACTGCCCTTCACTTCAAATGAAGTAAGTGCAGCTATGAAACGCTGTTTAAGAAGGACCAGTCTAGAGAATTCGGTTACGACAATCGAATTACCGCCGATTAATCTAAGACGCCAGCTGGTTCGTAACCGCCTATACGACCGCCTATGTGCAACGCAAAATTCCATAATTTGCTCCAATGGTGTCTGCATGAGTTCGGGTACAGTCCATCTGATTTCTGAAGCGTGCGGGGACGAATTCGTTGGCGAAACGGGTAGACCACTCTGCGTACGTATAAAAGAACACGTAGTCGGTAAACGTAAACCAAATACTCTACTAGACACGCATAGGACGCAGAGACATAACGGAGAACATTTTGAAGTAAGCGTTACGATCCTCGCGCAAGAATCGAGAACACAAGCGCGCAAAACTCAAGGGGCATTCTGGATTAATTCCAAGAATCCGAAAATGAACCACAGGTAGGAATGCCTCATTATCACGAGTAATATTGGGCAGTATATAAGCCTGCTATTTTGATGAGATGGGCGCAATACGATTCCGTGTGAACTCTGTGCGGTTGGTCTTCACGTGACATATTTAGTGGAAGACTCATAGAAAGCGGTGAGTGTGCAAAGACTGTGTTCAATGTGATTCAAATTTTGGTTTAGTATTTTCTCTGTTTGGTTACGGAGGTGTTTGGCTGTGTAGATTGTAGTCAACTTGACCTTTCCAGGCTCTGAGAAAGGTGAAATCCGCCGAAACGTCAGCTTGTACGTAAATAAGGAATTTAAGTAACACTTCGTGCTTGCTGGACAGAAGTAGAAAGAATTATGGCAAAAAGAGTCGACCAGCGTTCTATACATTCACAAATAAGACAAAATCCTCAGGCAGCTGCCGAAGCAACACGAGAATGTACGGCGACCATCGTGGATGATGACTGTGAGGAAAACGATTGTTGTGATCTTGTTAAACAGCGGTGGAAAATGTTTATGGGCAAAAGAAAATCGGACATGCCACCTCGTTCAACCAGAACTCGTCTTCACATTAGCTGCTACCTAGCTTTGAACTTAACACTACCTACGCTATCCCCTTCAGCTAATGAAATTGTTGACAATTGTAAAAAAGGTAGCTTTGTATTAAGTGAATACTGATAGTTTTCGGAATCTATTTTGACGTAAAAGCTAAAAGAGTGTCACACAATCACAACTTGCCTATAAACGTAGCAGATCTTCCGATGCCTGCAGAGCAATGCACAGTGATTGGACGACTTTCAGCAAGCTGTCTGCAAAGCTTCAGACAGCCAACCATTGGGGCTGGATTGTATGGTGCTGTATGATCGGGCCAAACCAAATAAGCGAAGTGATTAACCGTAATCGTGTGACTTCTGAATGCTACTGTTAAGCGTGTTTTTGAGAAATTCTTTGAGAAATATTTTGGAAAAACAAAGTACTTTGATATTCAAGATTTGTTCCATATATCTGATTTGTCCAAAGATCACCGTCTTTAGGGAACCATTGCGGGTTAATTGCAAAGCTACGTTGAGCGCCCATACGTGCCTGATTTCAAGCTCATTATAGGCTGCTTAGGCCTGTTGAGGTCACGGGGACGATCTGCACTTATCGCTTGTATTTAAATTATCCATTGAAAACTTGACTGTCTAACTAAGAAGATTAGGTATGATATAATCACATGACAACAGCGTTTTCCACAGACAAAGAAGAGAGACACCACCGATTGTGGAACATTAAATGTGGCTTTCGTTAGAATTATTGTCCATACACTATAACGTCTCCACTTCGCCTATGTTTGCACGAGTGTAATAATCTGCCAAGGTCTTCATTAAGGATAAGAGAATCAATCAAACTTACTTCGTTCCTACTGTTAATATTGTGTGCTTGACAGACTCAAAAGGATCGGGCTTTTTTTCCACAAAAGTGACCTTGTAGGGTCCATAGTTTTCAGATGATCCTTTTGTCTTAGGAAAATACTGTTGACATTTCTCGTGCTTCCCTTAATTACGCCATTCTCGTTATAGTTACATTTGGCAAAAGTAAATAAATCTAACGTTGTAAGCTTCGTCTTTAACAAATGTTCAAAATTACATTCTCAAGTTGTTTTGTAATATTTCTCAGCAGTGAATATCTTAACATAAATTCACGCCGAATATGTGAACTCGGTCTCCTTGAAAATAAATTTTAAGCGGTTCAAATGGATTCGAAAACCATGGCCATTCCCTTTTCTACGAAGCCTGCAAACACTTTTTATATTGAATATCTAGCGCGCGTGTGGCGCAATGGTTAGCTGTACTCTGCAGTAGACACATGGTCTTAGTTCGATCCTGCGCCTTGGCCTCACCAAGTCTTCCACCACTTTGTGGTTGGTAAATTGGTAGCAGACTTATCTAGTGCGAAAGAAGTACTGATTGGATGTATTGATGAACCACCGCTACTGTTATACAAACCAAATAACATCCATTCAATAACATATTGACAACATACTGACATACTAGTTTTTATTCACCAAGGATTGACTAACACCGAATGCTTTATCGTCCATGCTTTTATCTAGTGCTTATGCTTTTCTTGTGGCTTCCATCTTGATCAACTAAACGCTATGTAACACGTTTTTTGACGTTTATAATTTTGTAACTATATATGCGTCCTTATGAACTACCATTGTTGAGCTGATGAGAGGTTGGTATAAGTTACCATTGTTGTGGTTGTATTACTATTGTTTGATGGCTGACGTTTCGGCGATTTTGCGTTACCCAGAGACTGGAGATATTACATATGTAACAATAGCCTTGGGTCTCGATGAAAAATCCATAGTTTTAATGAAGATCTAACACAAAAATAAAGGCCAATTTGTTGAAGAACTACTCACCTTGCGTCAGCCATCAAACAGCGACAATACAACGACAACGACGAAAACTAATACTAATCTCGCATCAGCTCAACAAGGACAGTTCGTAAAAATAGATACACATATATACATATATATATAGTAAGCACGAAGGATAAAATCTCGGCGTTGAATAATCCGTGGGCGATGCGCCATGCATTCGACTTCATCAAGCGTCGTTTGGAGGTGATTCAATGGATGTGGACTCGCGGTGGCCTGCCTTTTTGGAGTTTTGTTGGCTTAACTATCGTGCTTCTCTGGAGTCCGAGGTAAGCGTTGTCAAAGTCTGCCCCTGGTTGACATTCTTGAAAAGGAAGATTAGATCATATTCAAGGAGCTTCCAGGCCCACACGCAAACTTATCTCTCTGTTCAAATAAGTTCATTAATCCAATTTGATTCAAACAAACATTCAAATCAAGAACTTTTTAAATAATGAATGTAAGGAAGCGAATCGACCGGAAGAAATTCTGGGCTTCGCAAAAATGTCGGCCTATACAAGTAAGGTTAGGAACATTTTATTCCTTAATCATTAATTGTTTTATTAGCTGTGGATGTTTTTTTCCTATCCTCCAGAGACGATCTCTTTTTCTCTAAATTTAACCGCCCTGGTACATCATTCGTTTGCTACAGTCTTGTCTTTTGGCATTTACCTCGTCAGATGATAGCACAAAACTTCATAAATTGCGTCATTTTATTGGATTACGAATTACTTCTAGTCAATTATTAACCTAGCGTTAATTTTTTATTTGCTACCAACAATAACTGTTCACGGGGAAAGCATTGTGCGAAATATTGTGATTTCGGCAACAGCTCCAGCTTAATTGGGTTCAACACCGATTTGAGCTGCCCAGATCAATCCCGTTGACGGTTGATTGCCGATGGCACTAATCAATAGAAATGGCTGAGAGACAGGCGAAACGAAGGACCCGCATGGTGCCGTGGTGAACGCGTTAGCCACCGGAAAGGACAATAACGCGTTCGTTCTCTACCGCAGACACCTGCGTTCCGGAGTTTTACAAATATCTCAGCATCGTTGTGGTTACATTTCGCATTAGACCCTGCCGTAAAAAATTGTAGTAGGCAGCAAAGAAAAAGTAGAACATTGTCTCTCAGATAGTTCTATCGATCAGTACCATCAGCAATCACCAGTCATTAGTCCAGTGTTCCACAATTCTCTGCTAAAAATGTATTCACCATTCATACATACCTTCGACGAAGTCGCAAAGTTGCACGAGTACTGTGCTTTTTTCGCAAAACATCATATGCCAGAAATCATGTAGAGTCTCTGTGAGCGGACCCTAGAATTTTGTCTAAAACGTCAGTACCATGTGTTTTAGTGGTTCTTCTGTATTGCAGTATTACATATTTCCTCGAAAACGTGATTAAGCAGTTAACAAATATTTTTGCCATTTGTACGTATTCTTTGTTATTTCTCAACTTCAGCTTGCCGCAACGCTTAGGTGATGTTATAGCGAACCTTAGGCGCTTCTTTTCACGAATTCGCTGATTACATCTTCTCCCACCTGTGTGCAGATATATTTGTGGTTGTCAGGCATCGTTATCCAATTTGCATGGATATAATCATCATCCGCTGGTCTGTCTTTTAAAATGACGCGCGTCGCATCAATGCAGATAATATCGTTGTATCTGAATCCCTTAACGTATTTTCTGAATTCGATGATGACAAAAACAAGTGCATCACCTGTTTTTGGGTTCATTTTTATCGTAGGCGTTCGTGGTGTATTCTCGTGGCTTGTAGGCTTTGTGTTTTGAGAACTCCTTTGAAAGCACCTTGATCGACTAAACATACAGGCTTTGTTAACAAGAAAATGACAGAGCTTTCATCACAAGAAAGTAGTCACCTTTGTTTCGATGACCATAGCAACCCATTTTGAATGGTTATCATTTGATGGAATAACGCTGAAACCCGTCTTTGCGCTTTCATTCTCTGTCTGAATATTACAAGTTTAAATGTTCTGCAATGTTTTCACAATGATTTCTGAAAACGAGCTTTAGTTTGATAGTACATGACCAGTGCGTCTCACTATTATTTTGCTTTATTTTGTAATTCGTTGGAGGTGTATATGCAATAAACGCTCTTCTGTAGAGGAACCACTCTATTTATGAGCGACATATTCCGAGTGGCAGATATGGAGGAAAAGAAATTATTCACAGGAAAATATCTACCTTAAATTTGAACGTCCTCTATATCAATACGCTTCACACGTCAGCGAAAACAATAGGTTTAATCGAGGACATAATGCAATTCACGGAACTGCTTAACGGTGTCTTCTATCACTTTTTTAACCAAACTTTTTACTAAGCTAATTTACCTAACAATGCTGAACCTAATTGGTTGGGGTTCAAAGATCTATCGCTTTATTCTGGCCAGCGATTGCTGCTGAGTTCCAAGCTAAACTGATCAACATGGATTTCTGCCTTCGGTAGGGATTAGAGAAGGCACAGGAACTTAAAGCCTAATCTGCATGTCTAAAACGCTTGTTCAAGAATATCAGCGCATGTCTCGACATTTCATGAAGTCGTTCAACACTATTATCCCACAACAGAAAGCAGTCCCATCCCTTCATATAAACTTAAAAAGGATCTTATCTTTCCAAGATTTTGTCGAAAATAACAAATTTTTCATAATAAAGTACGTGGCATTTCGTTCAAGACTATAGTAAAAAATCGTTGACGACACACCGCTACTCGTTGTTTGGTGGCGCTTGTACATAAAAACATATTGGCTGTAAAAAAAATTGAACACTGAGCTTTTCAGCGTCGCAAAAGTGTACGACTATTTCGTTTTTATATTCTGCAGTCAAGATGATTACAATCCAGCGTTTGCGCTAATTCTTTCAAAGGAGCACTAAGTCGAGCTCTTCCTAAGAGATACCTTTCCACCTGCTATAGCATCATCATCGATGTCGTTCGTTTTTCTGAGGAATTCCTGCAATTATTTATTGATAAACTGTGGGTTAGAAGAAGAGCATAATGTTAAATACGGCATATTTAGCAGCTTATAGTGAATAACGATGCTGTAAGCTCACCATTTTACGGGTTTTACACACCGATGATCTTCTCTTTCTGGCCACCTGCCTTGAAATATTTACTGCCTTAAAATATTTACCTTCATTAAAAGCAGTGCCAATAAGGCGGAAATAAATTTCTGGTTAGTGGGTTAGTACATCAAATACGTTATATATACCCACCATCATGAAGCCTGCTTAGCACCAAATTCTAACTGAGCATTACTATTTAGCATCGGTATTAATGAATTGTGATAAAAGAAAAGAGCTACTATCAAACTACCGATAAGCAAAGAGCGGTTGTAGAACTTAAATTCGGTGGCAGCAACATCTGACTGTATTAGCGCCACGCATCTGGGACGCGATCCAAAAACAAGAATGTCATTTTACATGCCGAATGAGACACAGTGAACTTTCGTGAATTCTCCTCACTATCGCCTGTCATGCTGAAGTTTATCGGCTTTTTGTGTGACCGCAAAAAATTGGAGTGGACGTGTTTGAAAAGACTTGTCAATGTATTCCCAAAAAGGTTAGGCAGCAACTTGTCGACTCTGGAGTAATGATAGACTTGATAATTCCTGGGCGCGGGATAGGACCAATGAACAAGTGAAATGCAAGGCATCACCAAACGCTGCGTTACACGCACAACATGCCACACAACGTGATATTCTGAGCACAGATTTCTACCACATAGTTACTGTTATATTCACAAGCGAATAATTATTTTTTCGCAACAGAACAGTAGTGAACGTTTCGGCGGCGTCGTATTACCCTGAAGGATCTTGTAGTCGTGTGGAATTGTAAAAAGATAGTTGAGAAGTTAACTGCACCTACCTCTATGTCATGAACGAAGATAGTCAAGAATATCTTATAGATTGTTCTTTTATTTAAGCTAGCGTGAGGTTGGTTGGTATCTCTTCTTTCTCAAATACGACGGCTGACGTTTTGTCGTAAGGATAGTTCCGATTTCGCCGAAACGTCGGCCACCGTATTTGAGAAAGAAGAGATATCAAACTCGTGCTCACTTAAGCAAGGGCAATTCGTAAGATATTGCTGATACGAGGTTAAGTGGAAATCGGTATTCTGAATTGGTGGAAAAAATTAGAGTTTAACTTCTTAATTTACTTCTCCATACTTTATAAATATTCACTTGGTGGACTACTAACACATTCAACGTGGTGTACATTAATTTCAACTCATATATACGGAAACCACGTTCCGCTTCTGACTCCATGCCGCCAAAGTTTAGCTCAGGCTGAATTATATCATTTATTATTGGATGATTCGACATTGTATGTGTCACAATGTGCACATCGCAACACATCTTGAATGCCGTGGAACTTTTCTGCACGACGATTCGGCTGTTACTTGAGGATTTCTTCGTTTTCGTGACGAATTTCGTCGATCTCCCGAGATAGGGCGCACCCACTTAGAGCAAAGTGAATGGGTTTGTTCCAAATAGGTTTGGTATCAATTTCCCAACCATGGAGTGATAAGAAGGTTAGCGAGCATAGTACGTTGTGAGCCAACGACTGGGTATGTGTTGTACCATCCGTCTAATGCATAGAATCACTGCCACTGTCCTATCCGTTACCGAACTGTATCAACCGCAATAAAAACAACTAAACTGAACTAAAAACTGAGATCTCAATATCTTTGTTTACAAGATGACAGTTTTGTTATTCTACCAGAGTAGAATTTTAGCCTATTGAGCCAGTTGAACGTACTTCTATCTTAACGTCCTTTAATAAAATTCTATTATCACATTATATTTAGAGAAGATGGTTGATTGAGGTTTGAGCTTGAATTAAGAAATTTGGTTTTGTGCATCAGTTGTGACATCCATTAATTTTTTAGAAATTGATGTAAGATTTCAACCTATATGCTTAAAATAGCATATCTCAGTTCAAAATAAATTTGATTAATGAAATAAGAACATTAGAGTCCACACACCATCAACGTTTTACCACCCCATCGAAGGTGTTCCTAGGTGTTCGTCTAAGTTGTACAACGGGGATTCGTTGCTCTGGAAGGGTATCCCAAGATGAGAAGGACTCCAACGTTTATATCAGGAAGCCTAGCTAAGAGTAACCAGTACCAAGGCTCACAACCGGTCGGGTATCAAACTAGTCGCATGGTGTCAAATCTTCCTCTAATCCACAAGGGTGGCGACTTCCTGTGGTGTTAACAACCTAGGGCTAACTTTGCCCTGGCTGTCCTTGGCACTCCATGGAATCACAGTAGCTAGACTAGCAAAACTCTGAAAAAACGCAAATTATGCTGGGCCCTCACAACCAGTGAAACATGCCACCCAAGCATCCAAGGAAGTATACGTGTGCATGTACGTACATGGTACACGTTTACATATTTCAGTTACATTCGTACAATTTTTCTCAATGATCACGGTCGCGATGAAGTGCTGTTGTTTTCCGAATTTTGGTGAGGTAAAAGGAATCAGAGATGTTAGTTTCCAGGATCAACTTTCTGCTTTTTGAATAATTGCCAAAATTCCTGCAATGAACATGCCCAGAGATCACACGCGACCTGGCCCCGTATGTTTTCATCAATTTCTGATGTGGCATGGTGCAGTCATCAACCATATGCGACTATAATCAGCTATTCTAATCTTCCTCATTGGAAGTCATGTAAAAGTGTTGAGTTTTTTGAGAAGCTGTTGATCATGCAATTACCATAGTTTTTTGCCTCTTTGTAAGTGTTATTGAAGCGTTTGGCCCCATCAGTATGCCCTTCCAGGCTCTGAAGAAGGCGATACTGCCGAAACGTCAGCTAGCGTTGTATTGTATTGTGTTTTCTATGGAAGAGACGTTAGCATTTGCTGTTGAGTTTAACCTTAATGAGTGAAAACATAAAACATGGATTATTTGCAGTTATTAAGTTTAAACAAATTAAGGACTCAGTGGTGTTCCAAGCGTAATAGCACGCTGCATAATTTGCGCGAGGTGCTGTTCGATTTCTCCGAATAGCACCAAAGTGTCCTATCTCAAAGAAATCAAAAAATTGATACCAAAATTGTCGGAGAAGCGTTCTCCTATCAACGAAACTGATGACTGCCTATATTGAAGAACTGTAAACGCTCTAGCACAGCAGAGCCGGCATCTCAAGGATAATCGACTGGACCAGCACTAAACGACGTTCATAAATAAGGTCGAATACCCTAAAGCAGCAGCTGAACCCATAAAATTGGAAGATTTTCGCTAATTACGGGTTCGACAAAGTTAATAGAATAAAAGAAGTGCTGAGATCTATTTCTACACTATATCTGATCTCAATTCACAGAAAAAGGTACTGTTTTCTTTAACGATGTCCGCTACATGATCCTCACTGAATATGGTGTCGAATGGAGAGGAAAATTTCAAAAAAAGTTGTTTGTGACAAAACAAATAACCAAGGAAAAAGGAAAACACATACGACACATACCGACGTTTTAAACATTTCCTCAATGAAAAAACCACGTCAAGACGTTTTGAATTACATAGCGGAATTTTTCTACCTAAGTGGTATAGAAACACCATGAAAACGAAGAAGAACCAGTCATGAATACAGAGATGTGGATCGCTGACAAATGGTTCTGTTGATAAGCAAAACTTGGGAGATCTATGGGTCATATTTGTTTGCTTCGTGCTGTTCGATTTTTTCAGTCATCTGGTTTAGGTTCTATTCTTTCTTGC